CAGCCAGTGCGCATGCGCAGTCCTAAGCGCACATCTTAGAACGCTGCTGTTTCTGTAGCTACTGGGACTTCTAACAGCAGCTGCAGTGACGCTCTGACTTTAGCGATTGGCTCTTTCATTCAGAAGGCGGGGCTTCCTGCGATTGAGCGTTGCATTTTTCCCCATTCAAAACTATACGAGTGACACGTCTTGGGTATTCTATATTCTTTGGTACGTACCTCAAGCAGCGTAACAAAAACGCAGGAATACGTGCCTGTACCAACATATTAAAAACGTGCCACGGTCACGTATTAAACGTGCGTTTTAGTGACACTCTCTGGACATTTCTCTTTGAAACTGCCGCAAAACGTGCAGTAAGGTACGTAATAACGGTGCTGCAGAAATTTTGTATTTAGAGGCACGTATTTCCAGTGAGCCTGGGTTGTGTTTTGCACTACCATAGAAAAATTTTAACCAAAGTATGTTATAGACTTTTCATTAAGACCCTAATGATATCAACTTCCAGAAAATGGGCATCCGATGACCCCTTTAATCATAACAGGTTTGGAGAAATGTAGCATACATCACGTGCTCATCCTCTGTAGTGAATGAGTGCCGTCAGAATGAGTCCAAACAGCTGATAAAAACAAGTGATCCACTCGACTGCAGTCCATCAGTTATTGTCTTTGAGTAGTAAGAAGTTGTTTGTAAGAAACAAACACTTCAAATGATTTTTAAAATATGCTTACATTCACTCTTAATCAAATGCCTAATATTTTTGAAATACGTCAGTTTCTTGTCTCATCACATTCTGTTACGAATTACATAAATTATAGCCTATATTTTCTATTCAAATTCAGGTGAAATTTGACAGAAAAAGTGAAATAGTTTGCATCATTTGATATTACTGTTGGTTTAATCTGTCATTAAAGATTTCATCGTAAAACTGTTTTCAAATATTAAATGTTTCTCCGCTGACAGATATTTGTTCATGTTATAATCATATTCACTTCATTTTGATAAATTTCTCTGTAAGAAAGACTTATCTTTTCTAGAGCCCGACCGATATGGGTTTTTTGGGGATGATACCGATACCGATATTAGGGAGTAAAAAAAGGCAGATATCGATATATCAGCCTATATTCTTTGTGCATATTTTAGTACAGTACCAGTCAAAAGTTTGGACACTTTCCCATTCGAGGGTCCAAACATTTGACTGGTACTATATATAGAATATTGTATATACATAAACAGAATATATATACATAAACACATTTTTTGCTATGATCACTCAAATGTGGTGATCAAACACTTATAATGACGTGACAAAGATATGTAATGATGGAGGCAGGGCATTTAACAATTTAACAAACTTTATTATCCAAAATGAGACTGACATCAGTGCACTGAACAATAAAGTTGAAGTTTATTCAACTTTAATTCAATTCATTCAACTTTATTCCTTTGAAGTTTATTTCACTTCGGAACATTCATTCACGGATTTGCGCTACTGTCACACACAGACGAAACTTACTAGAGAAGTGTGACATAATATACCTCTGTAAATAAATACAATATAAATTCACGTCTCGCGTACTTTAATGCCCTTTGAATGTAACGTGTACGTTCCCTTGGAACTGGAATAATGCCGAAATTTCATGTGAAGTCCACTTCGCAGGGCACTTACTGTCGAATAAGACAACGCTTGAATGCTGCTGCCTGAACAAGAGACCTCCTTACTGAAGTGAAAGTGTTGACTGGTGTCACTATCTCGCAAACGTGCCGGGGGATCTCCACCAAATTCGGGGGGTCCCTTCAGCTCAAGGAACCCTCTCGAAAGCCCCCCGAGATAGCTTGATCGGTCAGCGCAGGACTGCAAATTTAACCACCCGTAACTCCCGAACCCCAGGGGCTATTGACACGGGGGTGGTCTCATTCAAAAGCGGGCCTCTAGACATACAATCGATTCGTGTTCGAGAGGGTTCCTCGAGCTGAAGAGATCCCCTGAATTTGCCCTGGATTCGCTGCGTTTTAATGGTTTTCCATAGACTTAAGCTTTAAAGCGTTTCATCCAGGTCGCCAGTAGCAAACAATGGAGCGCGCTCTGCTGGACAAACTAAGTAATTACACCATTTCAAGCATTTTATCTGTGTTATATGTTCTGAAAAAAAATTTCATATCAGCGGCATATTCGCTGATACTGATAAATTGGCGGCAGGCTCATATCGGCCGATAAAATCGGCAAAACGATATATCGGTCGGGCTCTAATCTTTTCCTATCTTATGTCATTTTGCGTCTCAAAATATAAATTTAAGAATCTTTAGACATTTGCACTGGAAAACAAGACAAAAATACAAAGGAACAACTTTTTTTATCAGAAGTTATTCTCATATTCTAATGTTTGGGAGCAGAGCCATTCAAGCCATTTAAACTATTTTGTTTGAGAAACAAATAAAAAAGTTATGGAGATTTGTAGGAAATTGTATTTTCAAACTTTGAACCTTTAGCTAACACAAGACATTTACATTTAGTGACCATATTGTCACATTGTGTTTCATTCAATTTATTACTTAAATTATATTTACTTGGTCATAAAAGGCCTTTTAAAAAGTCATAAATTTACCATATAAAACTGTTTGAAACCCTGATAAAATTAGTCCATGGCACTGCATTTAAAGTCTATGCGAGGAACCGACTACAGTTACATTATTTACTGAAAATCCTTGGTCACCATACACTTTCTTATCTTTAATTTTCTAGTGCAGCTTGGATATTCTTCTATAATTTCTCCTTTTGTTTTCCACAGAAGAAAGAAAGGCATACAGAAAATGAAGACAGACTGTAATTTTGGTGAACTATTCCTTTAAGAGAGACTCTTACGAACTATACTTTACAGTGGTTTGTTTCGCTCTGAAAATGCAAGGGCAGGGTCCACCGTTTGCCATCTTATCTGTTATCACGCTTTCATATTGTAGCAGGGCAAATAAACTAGAAAGCCAAGGTGATCTCTATTCACACAAACAGAAATTCAAAGGTGCACAATGCATCTTTTCTGCCCAGTAAACTTGCTTTATTCTAGTTTTACCAGTTGAACCTTAGTTGCACAGGTCCAAGGTCTAGGCATTTTTGGTTAACCGTGGTATGTAAACATGTTTAGGGATTACGCAGTCATGCACCGCTTGATCTGGCTGGCTTTTTAAACGTATTGATGATTAGTTGAGAGTAGGCTGTTTTATTTCTTCTTCTTAATGGACAAGTACAAGCACACATCTTCTGTGGACATTTGACTTTCTCGCCTGCTTTAGTAAGTATTTTTCTTTGAAACTTTCAGTTTCTTGCTACTTATAAGATCTACTAAGCTCCTAAGGTGTGACGCACACTGCAGTGAGTCTCTCGTAGGCGTCCGCCAATTTTACCTTGTATCTCTTTCATTCGTGACTCATTCCAGAAATGCTCTTAGAAACCAATGCATTCCAGCACTCAGAAACCTTCAACAAACAAATGCACCATTGACATACTGTAGTTTGCTTATGCAACACTGATATTTCAGTTATCTCCGTTTTATTGATCATGATGTGCCACATTTACTGATGACCGGGCATTGGCTAAGTTCAATGTAATATGCAAAATTTATGATGCCACTGTTAGCAGATCTTTTTTTCAGTGTTTCCTCATTGAAATAGATGAAGCTGTACTGCCTGTTACCTACATAAAGGTAGTTAATAGATGCATGGAGGCGTTGTCATGATGGAAATAGCAGGATGTGACTTGTCTCGTTCACTGTATCATATCATATTTTTTGTTAATAGTGGCGGTGGGGAAGGCTCTCTGGACAGGCTCCTCCCATCCATCAACACCAGCCTGTCGCCACGGAAACGAACCACCAGCCAGTGCAAATCAGAGCCTCCGCTGTTGCGGACCAGTAAGAGGACCATCTACACTGCAGGACGCCCACCATGGTACAATGAACACGGGACCCAGTCCAAAGAAGCTTTTGTTATCGGTCCGTATATTAAAGCGCTCCGGGGAGGAAAAATCACAATCATCGTCAACCATCATCACCACGTGTCAATACTGGTCTCTTTGTACCCACAGGGCTTTGTGGAGGCAGTGCTTCAGGCAAAACAACTGTTGCTCGGAAAATTATCGAGGCCTTGGATGTTCCTTGGGTGGTTCTTCTGTCAATGGATTCCTTCTACAAGGTAACAGGTCATCTCATTGTAAATCACTCATGCACTAAACGTCTCTTCTACAGATATCAGTGAATTGGGTGTTCTGGGAAATCACACCCATTTCTATGACAGCCCTAAGCTTTGTACAAAGAGGAGTGGCATGCTTTTTTGGCCAATCAAAAACGCAGTCTCTGCCTGTGATTTATTTAGCATCTTCGTCTTTGCTGGCATGTCTTTTGTGGGCAGGGTTTTGGAGATAGCACTTACGGTATTGAAGTAAGCGAAAAAGCAGAAATTACCGTAAAGGCTGACAGAACCTTTAAGACCTAATGAAGTAGATGCATATTTTCTTCTGTAACAATTCCTTGGCAAACTTGTAGTTATGCAGTACTTGAAAAACTGACCCAAATTTGGCCCAAAAACCCAGTGGTTTGTTAGGTTCCAGTGGCTACATTTCCTAAGATCAATTTAAAGTACTTCATAAGCATGTTCCTATGTGCAAGTCTTGAAAATTCTTAAGAAGTTCCCAGTTACTTTCTCAGGAGCATCTTATTTTTAATCAACTCACCTTTAAAACACCTCAAAGCCTATGTTTTTTGCTCTGCCTGCAGATTACCATAATAATCATAATCAGAGTGCACGTTAGTTTTGTCATGATTGGGTATTCACGTTTTAATGCAGGATTCACTTTATTTAATGCATTGTGTATTCTAAATAGTTATTTTTTAAAAAGTCTATCTCAAGATGGAGCGATGTGAATGTAGTCTCGCATAACCAGACCTTCAGAATAACAGCAGAAGGTCTGGGCTCCACCACAGCTATTATTGGTCAATGGCCGTCCAAGAGACCATCTGACTGACATGTAAAGCAACCAATCACAGTTAGTTTTGTTCAGCGTCATGTTTAGGGGTGTGTAAACAAAAGCGATGTCCCTACCATAACAGACCAGCGTACAACCAAAAAATAATTCAAGAACTTTGTGCAAGTTTACTACAACAATGGCGCCTATGTATGCCATAAACTTAACATACTTTTGAAAAACCAGCGTTTAGATGGTCCTGGTAAACAAGCATAATCACATTTGTAAACACAGCAGCTTTCTTCTTCCATGAGGGGGTTTCGCGTGAAACATTTTTGTTTCCAGGAGGACCATTAAAAAGAAAAAGAAAAAACACCACATACATCATGACATCCTGGAGAATTCAACCAATCAGATGATGACTTTGAAACTCCCAAAGTGCTTTCCATTCAGACGTTCAGTGGGCGAATGTGAATGTGTCCTGTCTGTGTACAGTCTCGTATTTACTGAGCGGAAATATATATTCAGCAAAATATATATTCAGAAATTTTTTATAGAGTTGTTACTGAATTGGAATTCAGCAAAAAGTCGCATCATGTATAATCATGACCGATCATTGTAATGTTGCACTAATCCCTAGTAATAGTAATATGTATTATGTGCAGGGCATTATGTAATATGCATTACGTCAGCGTTGGCAAGTATATGAAAAAGTGTTACTTGCCTATAGGTCGGTAACCTTTTTCTATTAATTCTAACAATGCCTGCAAATGCGATATGGTTTGGCACAATTATCAAACCGTGAAGACTGCATTGTAATTATATAAATGATATCTGCTGCGCTTCGTGTTTCAGAGTGAAACGCTGTGATCTTTTCACGTGAGCTGCTCATGATAAGTGTTTTCAGTCTCTCGGAGGGGTTTGCGGTAAATGCGGCTCCACACGAGCTCTTGTCTCCGCAAGTACTCTGAGTTTGAGTCTCTTATAAAGTGAATTTAAAAATGCAACATCCGCAAGACGTCTCCCAAGTTTATAGTGAAAATGGTTTATAAATCGGACCTCAAATGCATAAAACATGAGCCTTTATACAGTAGACATACTAGTGTTTCTTGCGTAAAGACAACGCTGTACTTATACAAACAAGAAGATATTTATATTATTTATATTTATATTAATGTTATAGTTGAACATTTTAAAGAGCAAATATATATATTTATATTTATATATATTTTTAATTACTGTTATTATACAAAGTTCAAAGTATTATAATATATTTTTATTGAATTAATTAAAATAAGAAAGAAAGAGAAATAAAAATATGAAAAATATGCAATTAGATGTTTCCCCTAATAGTTTTGCCTGTTTTAATGAAGTAATGCACACAATTTCATGGCCAGGACATTTTCTCTAGTCACGAACATGGGCAGGTGTGGCAAAATGTTAGTTTTAGGCCCTGATTATATGTATATGTAGTTAGTGTCATGTTGTAATGCTAAATATTTGAAATGACCCAATAAATTAAATAAATAGTTTTGGGGATTTTAAGACGAGTTGGAGGTTCTAACTCTACATTCTAGCTTTTAGAGGTTATTTACAGTACGATGATTTTTCTGTCCAGCACTTCAAATTCTTAAGTTTTCTCTTTAGAACAATCTTAATAAAAAAAGATGACATAATTAAGAAATGTTTTATTGAATACAAAATATTCTAAAATGTCTAATTATTTTATTGAATGTTTTGTGAATCTGGCACCCTACTCAATGCATGTTTTGCAAGATTCCCCTTTCTGTCAAACATGTTTTATTGGACTGTCCAGCTTTTAATGTATGTAGAAAACTCTTTTATGACGTGAACTCACGTAAAGAGTTATTTTTAGTATAATTTTGCCAGAAAAAGTTTTAGAATTTTTATCATATGTTAATGTAAAAAATCTTGTCTAATATAACTTGTTTGTTTGCTGTTTTTAATTGATTTTGCCATGAAAATAGCCAAAGATGCTGACATGGCATTAAATAAATATATACTACTACTTTTTGAATCCGGCCGTGTAGTCACACTCAGGTACATGTTGTTTGGGAATCTACTTGACTGGTTTAATTGACTTAAATCACAAATATCTTATATTTGAGTTTCTTCTTTGAAAGTTTAAGCATAATTTCAGACAAGTGTGTCTAAAAACGTGACGGGTAAAGTGTCATATTTTAGAATTTTGGGAAAATCTGTGTGGAAATTCTAGTTCATTAACCATCATCCTGATGTGAGAATATAAAAGCTCTATCCAGAGAGACACTATGAAACATTTCATGCATCTGTTCTCATAAAGAGAGAGCGAGGACACGAGCCATTAGTGTGCTTTGAGTTATATAATCCATTAAATCCTTGAGGCAGCTAGTGACTTTACAGCACAGTGAGGAATCTCAGGTGTGCTGAGAAACTCAAGCGTCTTTGCTGTGGCCTGCAGAATTAAAACACAAGCCGTTATGTCTTTATGATGTTTGAGTGAGCTGTGCTAAAAGGCCATTCACTCTGTCATGTGAGGAATGTGAATGACACTGTGTTGAGTCTGTCAGGTGGATCAGAGCCGCTATTCTAGACTAGTTAGACATTTGTTTGAACAGTTTATCAGCTGTTGTATATCTGAAGAGAAAGGCAGAATCACACGGCTAAAGCAGTAAAAGGCCTGTGAGTGTGTATTTGTGTACACGTACCTGTGTGTAAATGTTCCTCCTAAATTTAGTTCAGCTGACCTTAGCCATGTGCCTATCGAGAGGACGGGGGGAGGGGGGGTTTAATGATACCACACACTTCATTTGCTGTCTGCATGCAGGGTGGCAAAAACATTCAACTTGTAGCTTAAAGATGGAAAATATATCCCTCCATGAAGATTGGAGGGTGTTTCAAGATGTTGTCTTGTCTGGAAAATATTACTTGAAAATGCATACAACTCATACAGTATATAGACAGTTCACACTGTAATTAATGTACTTAATATTGTTGTTTATAAAACAACCTAATGTCTAATGATATTTTTAAGTTTTTGTATAAATTATATATTTTTTGAAATTGTGGAAAAGAATACAATTCAAAAAATTTACAACTTTTTTTTTTTTTTGCCTTCACAAATAATATCTAGCCTCTATATCTCTATCTCTTAATATTGTTGTTTATAAAACAACCTAATGTCTAATGATATTTTTAAGTTTTGTATAAATTATATATTTTTTGAAATTGTGGAAAAGAATACAATTCAAAAAATTTACAACTTTTTTTTTTTGCCTTCACAAATAATATCTAGCCTCTATATCTCTATCTCTTTTTTTAATTGCTACATTTTTAAAAATCATAGAAATGTACACTAGTCAACATTTGAAGTGGATCAAAACTTTATCAAAGTTGTCCTAAAATCTAAAACCAAAATGTATTCTTGTCTAAGGACAACTTTGATGAACTTCTTTGATCCACATCAAATGTCGAGTTATTTATGAATTAATATTTTTATTTTCTTTTTTTTATGTTTTGTCTTTTATGCTTACCATTTATGATTTTATGCTACATTTATTTAATCAAAAATACAGTAAAAACAATTCAATATTATTGTCAAATATGATTACAATTTCTTTTTGGATATATTTTTAAAGTGTAATTTATTCCTGTGATGCAAAGCTGAATTTCACTCAAGTCTTCAGATCCTTCAGAAATCATTCAAATTTGCTGATTTACTGCTTAATACATATTTCTTATTGGTATTAATATTGAAAACAGTTGTGCTGCTTCATATTTTTGCATAAATAGTGTTTTTGGTTTTTTTCCGGGCTTTTCAAAACCGCAGCCTTTATTTGAAATAGAAATCTTTTTACATTATAAATGTCTTTTATTGTCACTTTTGATCAATTTAATGCATCCTTGCTGGATAAAAGTATTAATTTAGCTTTTTAAAATCTGACACCAAACATTTGCCTGGTAGATGATAATCTGCAGCAATAATAATAATAATTTTCCCCACGTGTATCATCAGATTGCTTTCATTGCTGTCATTTATATTGAAGTACGGCTGTGTGTTAGTGATTTTTACCATAGTTTACCCCTTTGCATCATGTCTAACAGCACGCCGTACCTGTGGTAAAAACCAGTGTAATGCACAAACACTCATAGCTTGTAACATTTATTAAATGCATGATTTGCAATGGCAACTATGTGGAGGAACCTTGCTCAAGGACGGTGAGTTCATGGATCAGCCCTTGTCTGTTTTGAACCTACGAGCTTTCAGTTAGCAGCCTTGATATCTGAGCTGAGATTTGAGCTGAAGTCAGAGGTGTAACCTCGGCACGTCTGCTGTGACGTCTTTCCTGCAGGTTCTGACGGCCGAACAGCAGCTGCTGGCTGCTAATAACGATTACAACTTTGACCATCCAGACGCCTTTGATTTCAGCCTGCTAGTGCACACTCTCCGCAAACTCAAGCAGGGCAAGAGCGTGAAGATCCCGGTGTATGACTTCACCACACACGGACGGCAAAAAGAGTGGGTGAGTGGAAACACACAGAGCGTGGAGCTGAGCTGATCGTGTGGAAGCCCATGTCAGATCAGCCTAATTTGTGGGTTTGTTGTTCCTCATTTTTCTACTCTGATTTGCTTAAAGTGTCATGTCTATGTAAATGATCAGTGTTGGGGAAGCTGCTTGGAAGCTGGTTTCTGATTTAAAAATGGCAATAAAGATACCTTTTGAAGTGGCGAGCTACATTTATTAGTCGACTTTTTGTTAAATTCCTAAACTAGGTTGTGAGTTGATGGAAAAAGCTATTAATTAAAGAAACCATAAAAATGTAAAAACTAAAATACATTTTAAAAATAAATAATCAATGAAATCGTAAAAACGTAAAATGAAAAATGTTATGTAAATAATTAAATCATAAATATGTAAATGCATAATTATTTGTTAAATAAATCATTGTAAATATAATTAGGTTTTTAAAATAAATATTTAAATCATAATTAACAATTCAAATATTTTAAATAAATCATAAAAATATTCAATTTAATTAAATCATATATTTTAAATTAAAAATAAATAATTGCAAAAAGTAATAAAATCATAAATAAATTAGAATTTAATATAAAAATGAAAAAGAAATGTATCATAAAAATGTAAACTGAAAATAAATCATTTTAAATAATAATTAAATCATAAACATGTAAAAGTAAAATAAGCCATTTTAAAAACAAAAAAAATGACACCAGAGAGCCGTGAGCATGCAAATGTATTTACATTATTAAAATATTGCCTTAAAATCAGGAGTACTTGAAGTTAATATTTTAGGTCAAAGGCCAAAACTTTAATAAGCCCTGTTATATACAAACAAAAAATCGCTAACCTATAGTCTTTAACTAACAGAACTAATAAAAGCTGCATTAGCTTTTTAATTAACTTTAATATTACATAATATAATCTGAGCATTTCAGCACACAGGCCTTCATCAGGATTTATAAGAAGCCTGTCTGCTAAAACATGATTTAAAGTTTACTTTCTAACTAGAATCACAAAACAATAATACAAGGAATAACTGTTTTGCTGCTATTTTTAATCCGTGTTTATCTGCTTGCAGAAAACGGTGTATGGGGCCAGCGTCATTATATTTGAGGGCATCATGTCATTTGCAGATAAAGAGCTGCTGAAGGTAAACCTCATCAAATCTGTCATAATGTGGATCTTTCTTGTTTTTCTCCACCCTCTCTATGACCTGATCTGGAGCGTCGTCTGTCTGTGTTTCAGTTGCTCGACATGAAGATCTTTGTGGACACAGATTCTGACATCCGGCTGGTACGGAGGCTCAGGAGGGACATCACAGAGCGCGGCCGGGACATCGATGGAGTGATCAAACAGTACAACAAGTTTGTGAAGCCAGCCTTTGAACAGTACATCGAGCCCACCATGAGGCTGGCAGATATCGTGGTGCCACGTGGTCAGTTTGCTTTGACAGATATCAAGCACATTGCATTGTGGGATACAGTGTGCTCTGTTTTGCACTGCACTTTGTCAGTTGCATACTGTAGCAGTAGTGCTAGTCTGATCTAGTAATGCTTAGTTGGAACTCCTGTTCTTTATTTCCTGTAGGTGGCGGCAACATGGTGGCCATTGATCTTATAGTGCAGCACGTTCACAGTCAGCTGGAGGAGGTAAGATCAACAGACACCTTCAGAAGATTTATTTTAATATCTAGCAATCATTTCATCATAGTGCTTCTGGTTATGAAGAATTTCAGATGTCAAATATTTAATTTTACTTGTAAACTCATTGTTGACCGAGTGGTTCGGTTGTCTTGAAGGCTCCCCATTGTCAAACACAATATTCCAGACCACCTATTTAATATAATTTGAACAGAAATATAATATATAACTATAGTTATATTAACTATAATATTTAATTGTAAAGTTAATATAAAACATTTTGAACAAATAATATTTAAAACTACCATTCAGAAGTTTTGTTGACATTTGTAAGTTGACATTTTGTTAATTTTTTTTTATTAAATTTATAATTACAATACATTTACCATTAAAACATTTTTGTTCTTTTTTTATTTTTAAATGTAAAATTAAATATATTATTTTGTTATCTGAACAGATAATGGGAGGTCAATTAATTCCGTTCAAGAACATATGGTCTAACTAAATGAGGAAAAAATATAGTAAATATAATTTATGATTATGAATAACAATAACTTAGATTTTATAATATTATATTAAAAATAATATATTAATGCTATACATTTCAGGAGAAAATCAACATTTTAATTATCAAAGAAGTTTCTTATTCCTTGTGATACATCTTTACAATTTCCTTTATAATGCAGCAATGTGTTTTTGTTGATTATGAAAATGATTTTCATCTTCAGTGTTTCCTCCTAAATGTTTTTCCTGCGATTTATTAGAGCAATAATCGGTGTGCGGCGTAACGCTTGTGCATTTTGGATTGGGAATGCTTTGTAGTGGACTAATATTTGACTTGTCATGTGGTTTGTATCACTGACTGTAATATTAAACAGGAAATGATGTAACTCACTTCCTGACCCACAGGGAATCTGCACCCACAGATTTCATCAAAATTCAAACACTCGTCTTTCAAAGCTGTACATGTTCCCCGGCCTTTTCATGTTTGCTAAGTATTTTGATCAGTTTGATGATATTTTCAGCTATCAATAAGAAAGTAATGCTCTCAGCTCAGTGAAATCATTCTATAGAATCTGAGATTCCTTCCTAAAATCAGCTCCAAAAGTCCCTTTGTGTGGGCCTGCTCATTTTCTGTAATACTGGTGTGACACGTTTTGTTTGGCCGTGCTTCCTCACCGCACTGGATTGTTCTCTCCTCCCCTCTTGCTCTCTCCTCTCCTCGCGGTGGCACAGCGTGAACTCAGCGTCAGGTAGAGTAGCACTGCTCATCTTCTCACTTCCTGTCACTGCCTGCACTGACGTTTCCCCTCGGCACTGATCTGGGCTCAGTCCTGACAATCCGATTGAGAGCTGATAATGATGTTCAGAGCAGCCGCTAAGGCAGGAGTGAGAAAACTGACCTCAGATCAGTCTGCAGGGGGAAGTTATACCAGCCTCTCAAACTGAGGGATCTTCTTCCTCCTGAGCCCTGCTGCACTTCCTGTACAGACCAAAAGAGGGCAGCCGCTCTTTATGTTGACTGCTCATTGTCACATTGGTCTTTGAGCATTGGTGTGGGTCAGTTTTTTTAAATCATGAATGAGTGAATTTTAATTAGCATTAAGACAGTGTCATATTTCACCACAAAATTATTTATTATTTTGTTTTTAGTGTATTTTAATTTAATGTAGTGTTATTTCAGCATTGTTTAGATACTAATATGGTGTTTATTCATATTTCATTTTCAGTTTTCTTATTAATTTTAGTTTGTTTTAGCAACTTTGTTAGGTCCTTTTGGCATTTTATTAGTTTGTTTTGAAAGTAGTTCTGTATAGATTTTAATTTTAGTACTTTTTGTACATCTGTTTATATTTAATATTTAAAATAAAATTTATTTTAAGGTGTCCTTGTTACACGTTACATGTACTTACTATTGTAATAAAAATGTATTATGCATAACTACATGCAAGTAACCCTAACCATATAGTAAGTACATGTAGTTAATTAATATTACTTAGTACTTAAAGGTATAATTACACTGTAATAAGGACACCATAAAATAAACCAAAAATGCATTTGATTTTAAATTAATTTAAATATTAATATTTAATTTTAAATGTAAAATATTTAATGTGTGTGTATGTGTATATATATATATATATATTATTATTTTTTTTTTTATATAATTTTAGTTTACTTAAATTAAAGCTTATTTCAGTTAGTTGTCAAGGCAGGATTTATAATTTACTTTTTTTTCATGAAGTTTAAATTTTTCATGCAATATTTATATTACATTTTTTGCTGCGTTATTTCAGTTACTGAAAATGAGTTTCAACTTTAGTTTAAGTTAGCAATAACACAATGATTTATTTTATTTTATTTTAATAAATATAATAATAATAATAGTTTTATATTTATTTTTTATATATTTTATACATTTTTATATTGTTTTATTATTATTTAATTATTTTATTAAATATTTATTTTATTTTTTATTTCTATTTTATTTATAGAAAAAAAATTATAAAAGGGTCAAGCTTTATTATTATATATATAGACCCACACTGATATATTCACAGCTATGATGTTTGGGAAACCACAACCCAGCACTGATCAATCCAGTACTGGCCAGCAGTAGAGCATCATGGGATGGACGTCTCATGACATGATTATAATACGGGAGGATAGATGCTCAGCGCTGCAGTCAGGAGGGAGGCAGATACCTTCTGTTTTTCCATCTTTCAGTGTTTTACAGCAGACACACTCCCTGCATGCCGTGTCTAAAAATACTCCGCTGTCTTCCTCCCCTTGACCTCTCTTTCTCTTACTTTCTCTTGCTCTTTCTATCTTTCCCCTCTCGTTCTCTCTCTCTCTCTCTCATGGGTTGTCTCTGTAGCTATTGTTGAACACGGCGTCTCGCACGCACTGAAGTTTCCTATGTCTACTACAAAGAGTTTCATTTTTCCGTTGGGCTAGAAACGACAGCACATGAGTGTGTGTGTGTGTGTGTGTGAGAGAGAGAGAGAGAGAGAGAGACGGAGAGGAAGAGAGAGAAAAACATGAGGAAGTACAGCCCCTGACACAGGATGTAGCAGACCTTTGTGTCAGTGAGAGTGAATGAGAGGATGACAGCTACAACAGGAACCACACCAAATCTGATATAAAAAAAAAAAAAAACATTTTAAGAAATGGTTCACTTAAAAATATAAATTCATCATTTATTAATTTTATGTCATTCTAAACTCACATGACTGACTCTTTTAGGGCTGGGTATCACATGTTACCTCACTACACATGATACAAATCTCACAATACTATGCGCCGTGATGCGTCATCACAATATTATAAATGGATTGTGATTGAAACAGAGACTGAGCGTGCCATGAATCTCTATGGTGCCGACCACTTTTTTCCGTAATATGGCTACTCTTTAAAACAAAAATGTAGGCATTTTTAATGAAACTTGAGAAATATCTGTCCCTCCATTGAAAGTCTGGTCCACCAAAATCTTGGTTTCAAAAAGTTCATAAAAACATTAAAAGCATCTCAAGCAGTTTAATCCACGATTGCTTTATATGACGAACAGATTTAATTTAGGCCATTATTCACATGTAAACACTGATCAATGCACAGACATATCAGATATATTAAACAGAAGCTCAAACATGCGTGACTGTGAGTAAATGACAGAATTTTCATTTTTGGGTGAACTGTCACTTTAAGAGGAGGTCAGTGCCATCAGACTTCATTGGTTCATTACTAATCGTCATGGACATCAAACCTGTCATATTTGGACGTGCATGAAAGACTTAAATTTCTATCAGTTCCCCACATAGGCTACCGTAAGGCTTCAGATGACTTGAATCACATCACAACCCCCCCACCCCCCAGAAGCAACTGGGATATTTTGCTTCTTTTGTATTCCATGATGACAAAATTGACATTTTGGGCGAACTGTACCTTTAAAATGAGACTGCATGACGTAATCAGTGCTGGATGATTTGCCCACAGAACATGCACACTGTGTGCCGATCGCAGCTGTCACACTCTTGTTCAACTCTTCAGTCATGTGACCGCCTCATCCTCCTTCACCTGATAGTTTGTGACGTCTCTCTTCTTTTCCCTCTCTTCCTGTTGTCATTGTCTGTTTGTCTGTTGTTTGTCACTTCCCCCACAGAGAAAGCTCCGCTGGGATATGTGAGGAGATTTGCTTATGATTTTTTTTTTTATGTTTTATGCTGTTGCATTACAGACCATAAGTAGAACAGCAGGCATCTAGGTGTGATTTCCAAAGACTGCATATTGTCAAACCTATGTTTTAATGAAGCATCTCATTTAAATGTAAAGCAATGACATGAGTTTGTCAGAGTTTACATTGAAGGTGGTGTTTTGTTTGTTGACAGGATGCAGTCTTTGACCTGAGTGCTTGTGGAATTGAATCATGGGATACTCCCAAAAAAGCCTGACCTACTCCGAGCTCATGAAGCTTTCTAATAGATATGATTAACCAACAGTCTTTGTAAGCTGGAGTGAACAGTGGCTTCAAAAAGTATTTGAACACTTAATGCATAACTGTGATTGTATGAATGTTTGGGCTTGGTTTTAATTTTTTAATGTTTTTGAAAGAAGTCTGTTATGCTCAGCAAGACTGCTACTTGTTGTTTGAATTAGTTTCGTTTTTGCTTGGTTTTGTAGTTTTTTTTTTATTGTAGTTTTTTTTATTTTATTTTTTTTTTAAGAGTTTTCTTTCTTTCTTTTTCTTTTTGTATTTTTTTGCTTTCCCCACCCCCTCAGAAAAGGAGGTAACATCATACCCTGTGATGTGCTATTGGAGTTTTATTTTCTTTTTCATTTGCTTGTTTTTGTTCAGTTGTTTTTTTGTTTTTAGTTTTCATTTTTGGGTTGGTTTTGTTTTGTAGTTTTGTTTTGTTTGTTTCTTTTATTTCATTTTTTGCATAGTTTTGTTTTCTGTTTTTTATTATGTTTTATGCAAATTTTTTGGCTTGTTGTTTGAATTAGTTTCGTTTTTGCTTGGTTTTGTAGTTTTTTTTTTATTGTAGTTTTTTTTATTTTATTTTTTTTTTAAGTGTGCCGCAGCAGTTTACTTCACACATCTCACTGCAGTGTATGCATTGTGGAAAACTCACCAGTACTTGGAGTTTACAGACTAACTGTACAGCATCTCATATGGCTGTCCAGACTCAGAGTGAAGTAATGTGGAAAGCTTATGCAAAACAGAATTATAGTTTTGATGCTTAAAGTTTGAAAATGTGCACTGTATAAAAGTAGACAAAATGTCCAACAATATGCCAATTTGTTACATGTATGAAGAGACATTTCACAGTTTTGTAAATACAAACAACAGGAGGTAACATCATACCCTGTGATGTGCTATTGGAGTTTTATTTTCTTTTTCATTTGCTTGTTTTTGTTCAGTTGTTTTTTAGTTTTCATTTTTGGGTTGGTTTTGTTTTGTAGTTTTGTTTTGTTTGTTTCTTTTATTTCATTTTTTGCATAGTTTTGTTTTCTGTTTTTTTTATAATGTTTTATGCAAATTTTTTGGCTTGTTGTTTGAATTAGTTTCGTTTTTGCTTGGTTTTTTTTTTTAATTGTAGTTTTCTTTCTTTCTTTTTCTTTTTGTATTTTTTTGCTTTCCCCACCCCCTCAGAAAAGGAGGTAACATCATACCCTGTGATGTGCTATTAGTTTTTTTTTTTTTTTTTTTTTTGTTTTTTTAACTTTGTTTTTTTTTTTTTTTTTTTTTTTTTTTTTTTTTT